CGCAGGGGAGAAGGAGGGGGGAAGGGAAGGGGTGGAGCCAGGGAGCACCCCTGGGTACCCGCCTCCTGGCTCCGCCCCAGCCACCCCAGCATCTGCTCCCTGGCTCCGCCCCCAGCTCTCCCCTGAGCATCTGCTCCCGGGCTCTGCCCCAGCCCCCACAGGGCTCGCTCCTGCACCTGCTGACCCATGCCCCAAGCCGGCTCTGCCCTTGCTTGGCCTCTGCCCTTGGATTCCTATGCCTGTCTTCTGACCATGAGCCCGCTGGCTGTTTCCAGACTAGTGAGTCTGTCTCTCTGCTTTGGGGTTACCCACGGCTCCCTCTCAGGGGCCTTTCTGCTGAAGGACCTCAGGGTTCCAGGGGGCTGAGGAGGCCCTGAGGGTGCCGCACCGCTGCAGCCTGGGGCTGTGGGAAGGAATCCTTTTCCATTCTCGGTCGCGGGAGCCTGAGGCCTGGAGAAAAAGAGACTCCCAGAGGTCACAGGGAGAAGTGCCCAACAGCTGTGGGGGCCCCGTGTGGGGCATGTGGGAAGAGGCCACGCCAGAGTCCTTAGGCTGCTGTGAGGTGGCCAGAGCCCTGTGGCCTTGGTCTAGCTACTGTCCCCTGGGGCACCACTCCCTGAGGCAGAGGAGGCAGAGTTGCCCCCCTGCCTGCCAGCCGAGGAGCCGGGCAGCTTGCGTGGCCGGCGATGGGGGTGGTCAGCACATGCTCAGGCCTCTCCCTTTCTGAGATTTGCCCTCCAAAATAGAGGTGCATTGGTCTCTTCCGGCGTCGCTCAGGGGAGACGAGTGGCTGCTGGCGCCAGTGCCCTGGGAAGGGGCCTCTTCAGGAGCAAGTGCAGCTTGGGGCTCTCTGGGGACGCACTCGGCGGGGACGGACCAGGCCTGGCTGCAGAGGAGTTGCCAAGGGAAGACGGCCTGCCGGGTGGGCCTTCGGTGCGGAGGAGGGCAGGTGCCCAGGGGCACAGCTGGAAGGAGGCGGCTGGAAGAGCAGGCCATGTCGGCCGGCGGGGGCCAGAGCCAGCTCCACTCCGCGCTCTCGTGGCGTGGACGTCCAGGCCCTGCTCTCTGCACCACAGAAATTCATTCAGAAACACTCACCCGGCACTGTCAGCGCCACCCGAGTGACTCAGAAGCTGACGGGCATGAAGGTCGGGCTCCCAGGGGACCCGAGGCTGGTGGTCATGCTGGAGCAGTGATGGGGCCGGGGGCTGCTTTCTGGTGGGCATAAACCAGCAGTCAGGAGAAGGATATTGATGGCGTTTTTTTGGCAGATTAGAAATACCATGTGCCTCACATATGTGACTTCAAATTAGGCCGTGAGCCAGTGTCTGTCTTCGGGTGGGTAGCTAAGAATCAAGCAGGAGAAAACAGCTCCTGGAGAGCGGGGACATGCTGTCTGGCGAGGCCAGCCCGGATGCCGTTCCAGGTGTCTGGAGACGGCCCGAGGACTCTGGGCACGTGTGCACCCACGACTTGGGCTGCCAGAGGCTGGGCTAAGTCTTTTGTCGAGGTCCTATTGGGGGTGCTGTCTCTCTCTTGTTCATGGATGAGAGAAACATCTAAAAAAAGTTAAAACATACAAGCACTGTATTATCCAGGAATTTGACTCCTAGGCATACAGGGGCCCTCAGGGTACGTGGAAATCGTGGAATTAAAGTATGAGTTTATTGTGCTGCAACACGTTTTGAAACCCACACATAGTTTTTAATAATGTGCATGTTGATAGAACCTTCTGGAGCCCTCTGGTGTCCCCAGAGCACTAAAAAATAGGGACCTGAATGAAACCTGCACACAGATGCCACGGGGACTTGGGCCAGTCCACGACGTCTCTTAGCCAAGGCGTGAAGACTGCTGTGCCCCATGCCCAGGGTGGACGTCGGCCACAGAGAAGTGACAGGCTGGATGGGCTGCCACACGGCGGCCACAGAACATTAGCCAAGGGGCTCCATTTACGGAAGCGTCCAGAACAGGTCCCTGGGTCAGGGCCCTCCTGGGCTGTTCCCAGGGACAGGGAGGAGACAGGAGCCACTGACTCTGGCATAGTCTCCATCAGGGCGAGCTCCGTGTAGCTGGCGGTTCGGCTCCTGTGAGGGACAGAGTCGCATGGTGCCACGGGCTTTCAGATGGTTCATCCACATGCACGTAAACCGCACCTCGACTTTAAACCAGAAACTCCCGAGGGTTCTCTGAGCAGAGGTCCTCTCACTCAGCCCCTCACCCGTGGAGAGGGCCGGCTAGTGGGATGCAACACCTGGGCCACCCTCTGGAGCACGGGCAGGCGGGCCGCTGTGCTGTGCAGTGCACGGCCACCAGGGCCTGCCTTTGCCAGGCTGCACGTGGAGGACCAGGGACCAAGCTGACGTGGCCCCACCCCACAATCACTCCAGCTCGATCTGGGCCTCGAGTGTAAGAAAGCGTGTCTGTCCCCTCAGCCACGTGCTTTGGTCACTGGGGACAGAGGCTGTGAGAGGCCAGCAGCCATCTGAAACGCCCTTCGGGAGCAGTTCTTGCACTTCCCTGGAGGGGTGGGCTTCCTGCCGTGGCAGCCCGACGCGGTGGGGCACCCGCCTCACTGGGAGCCGCTGGGCTCACGCTAAAGGCATGAAAACGGAGTGGACAGGGTATGTGGACAGGGTATGTGGAGAAGTCCAGCCTCAGGTAAAAGCACCCATTGTCGTATACACTTACGTTTTATTTCTGGAATATAAAATTCTACTGTTGGGACTGGGGACATGGGGTGGGGGTGGGTGACAAAACTCCCTTTGAAGGTGAGGGCTTCTGGCTTCCCTGCCACAGAGCCATTCTCCAGCCTGCACTGCTGCCTCTGGGGTGGGCTGGGCCTTCTGCGTTCTGGAGTTCTTGATCTGCTCCGGGCCTGACAGTCTGAGGTCCTGGGAGGTCTCTGACAGTGACGCAAGCTGGATCTGACCCAGGTCCCGACGTCATGTCACGGTGCCTGTGTGGCATGGACAGCCTAAGAACCAAGGCCCCATCACTGCCCTACGCTCCCTCGAGCCACGGTGCCCACAGCTCCGACCTCTGCCATCGGCCAGTGCCTGGCGTGCAGATGCCACCACCTTCAGCTGTGGGCTCCCCCACTGCTGCCACCCGGGTTGTGACATGTGGCCAAAGCAGCAAGGGTTCTGGCAGTTTGTAAATATGTTTCTGAGGGACGATGGCGTGATGGTGGGGGTCCAGGCTTCACCTTCGACCAGCTCACACAGGACCTGGGGGGGGCAGGATGTGGACGAGGCTCCAGCAAGCGCCCCGGCCACCACCGCAGACCACATGTGCGTGAGCCCGTGTGGCCGGACTGCACCCGGGATGGTTCTCTGAACACAAACGTTTGGCACAAGCAACGGCTCCTCCCTTTGCCTGGGCATACCTGATGGCTTTGTTCGGCCCGAGACCCACCCCACATGTCACCTGCTGCTTGCCGCCTGAAGCAGGGAAGGGAGGGACACCCCAGCGGGCATGGTCACGCGGCTATCCCTTCTCCCCTGCTCTTTCGGGACTTGGGGCGCGTCTGCTCACGTGCCCACCGAAAGCCAAGACTGGACCCTGGTCATCACCGCGGGGCTGCGGGGCTGGCCACACCAGTCCTTCTGTGGCCGTGTTTCTCCTTTGTTTTTTAAAACTCTGCCAGAGGGCATGTGTGCTCATGAGAGGGGAGACAGCGCACGAGCGAGCACGCCCCACGTGGCGGTCACGCCGCAATGCCCTCTCCACCTCTCCACCCTGCCAGGCTTTGGGCACACGCACACCCGCCCTGCACGTTCTTCAAAGGTCCGGGCTGAGATTCGAACTGCACAGCTGCCATGTGGGGTCTGGCTCACCTCCCACCAGGCCACAGGCCAGCTCAAAGGAGGGTTTTCCTTTCAGCTACATGAGGGCAAGAGAGGACAGCTCTGCTGAGACTTGAGATGAGCGTCTGTGTTTACAGGGCCACGGCGAACCAGCCACGGCGCTGAGGGCCACGGCCGCCTCCTGGAGTCGCACGCCAGCAGCTCTTCCCAGCCACATGCGCTTCCGACGAATATGCTTCAGGTTTGTGTTTCTTTCTTAGAAAAAGTAAAACATAATCTTATAGAAGGAGTGTTTTAAGATAATTCTCTGTGTGGGAGAGCTTCTCCATCAAGATGTTCTGTCCAGAGGCTCCGTGGCTTGGACTCCACTCAGGTGCAGTGCAGGCGTGCTCCACGAGGGGGCAGCGGCTGCCCAGGCACAGCCGTCAGATCAGCCGTTGGCGACCAGCGGCTAGGGGGGATGTAACCCCCCGTTC